TGTATCATGAAATATAATTTTGCTATTCCAAGCAACTTTTAAAATTATATCGATTTTCAAAATTATTAGTATAGAATATCATAGAACAAAAATCAATAAATTTTCATTTTAATAAATATAAATATAGTTAATGAATTTATGATTAATTGCAAAAAATTTGATTTCAAAATTTTGATTTCGAAATTATTAAAAAAAGATATATATTTTTAATTCTTATATAATTTAATTAGAATTCAAAATTTTCTATTTTCTATAAATTGTGAAAAATAGAAAAGAATAATAAATATATTTATATAAAAATAAGGATAAATGAAAGAGAAAATCAGGAATTAAAATGCTGATAAGAAAATATAAACGTGCTGAGAAATGAATGCAGCAATTAAATTTTTCAATTTCTAATTATTCTAATAAATATCTTATTACTGTATTTTGAAAACTTTAGCATGATTTTAATTATTGTCATAACGAATTGTAAGGCATATTATAACTCAATCGAAAATTTATACTTCAAGAATTTCTATAGTTGTTATCCGCGAAATATGAAATTAAAATATAAAACAATTTGAAGACTGAAATTATAATGATCAAAGTTATAACGATAGATATTATTATTACAATTTCGGTTATTGTAATTTAAATTGTTCAAAAATTATTCTATATTTTATTTTCTCATTCCATAAATTGGAACGATTCAAAAAATCTATGAAATGTCCAAATTCGCTATAATATTTATATATATATCGAATAAATATTGCATCACATCAATTCATCAATATATATTTAAATATTAGTTTTATTTTAAACATTAGGTGCCACGCTATGATCTATTTAAACATATAAATTATAAACAATTGATAAACGATCATTGTCACCATAAATATAGGCAAAATTCACTAATAGTAACTAGTAATTAATTTTTTACGAATATCTAAAAACAAATAATTTCATGAAAAAAAAAATTGTTCAAAATGATGATTTCTATAATATATTTAAAAATTATTGAAATCGATCAAGAGAATGATTAATCTATATATTCATCAAATTCATTCATATGTTCATAAAAATCAGAATTCAAAATTACCTTATTAATTAATTATTTCATAATCATTTTATATGCATACAAGAATACTGCAAGATTTTTTTTTGAATGATGTCACATTACTACTGCCATTCTATACCTATGTCGCGTCATCCAGTCTAATTGTAAGCGATGTAAGTTCTATCTTCATTTGTTTAAACAATACAAATTAATTCATTGAATTAATTAGTTTTTTTTATCAATTTTGTCAAAACGTTATTTTTATTATTTAAGGATGATTAAATCGAAAAATGTAGATTTCTATACTTTTATTATAAGCTATTTTGATCTATATCTTATTTATATATAGTTTTTATAATAAAATTAGATTCTAATTTCAATTATTATTAATATTATAATTGTCTTCTATATTGAACCAACAACATCGCATGTAACACGAAAATAAAATTAGATGAGAAAGATTTCTAAATTTCTGATACGAAAAAACATTATATATTATGTCTTTTTTACATTTTATCTTATATATCCTTTTTTTGTACTTTTTTATACTTACATTTTGCCTAAGTTATGTTGTATAAAAATTACTAAATTTAATTATAATTCTTGTTACTCAGTAAATTGTTTCTTTTTATTTTAAATAGATGTAAATATATAAAACAAAAATTTATTAGGTATCCGATCTATATTATATTTCGTTTATGGTTATTCTATTTTTTGTTTGTGACATAAATTTATCAAGATTTTAACATTTACACAAGAAATCAATTATTTGTTTATATATTTATACCAACATATATATTATATATACTACATATATATGAAAATTAAATTATAATTAAATTTAAATATTTATGATTACAAATATAATTAATTATTACTTAAACGAGATAAAAAATTTTTCTATTTTTAATTTTTATATTTTTTAATTTTAAAATGTAAAAATTATTTTATCATTAAATTTAATATAGATTCTATATTAACCAATCGTAATATATTTTTAAGTGACAATATCTTATATATAATATAAGTATCTATTGTTATCTAATTTTTAAGTGAAAGTTTGTTTAATGATATAATACATATAGAATAGTTTAAAAATATTTGTTACAATAAACAATTATAAAAAATTATCAAATTTATTACAATTTTTAAAAAGTATTACAAACAAATTGTATCTTTTTAGTTGTTGAAGAGTTCAGTCCTGTTCCAAATTCCGGTCGTATACGGGTTATTGAAACTGAAAAAGGAAACGAAACTGAAACGGCATGTCTGAAATTGCTAACCAACATGAAATCAATCAAAGTTATTGGTTTAAATGGAATGATTATCAAAATCATCTTTCTGATGTAGTTAGACAACTTTTAGAGGAAGATTGTATGGTGGATGTTACCCTAGCTGCTGCTGGGGAACGTATTCATGCACATCGTATAGTTCTTTGTGCTTGTAGTACTTTATTTCGAGTAAACAATTTTTGTGTTTTTAGAAATTCTTTGTAGTTTTCTTTTAATTTTGAATTTATAAATTTTATAAATTTAAATATTTTTTAAAAAATTTTTATTTTATGATTATTTTCAAACATTTTTAAATAATGTAATAATTGAAGTTCAAATTATTTGATTTATTTTTTGTACAAATTTTAATAATCTATATTAAAAAGTTATTTATTAAAAATTATATGTTCAAAATATTTCTATAAATATAAATTATTTTTTTTTGTCTAAGAAATATATATTTTGTTTTATAAATTAAATATCTATATAATATTTTATATGATTTATAAATTTTATTATTTGTAGGAAATATTGAGTCAAGTAAATGAAGATCACCCAACAATAATATTAAGTGATATATCTGCTCAAGATATAAAATCTATTATAGAATTTACTTATCATGGAGAAGTACGAGTTCCAGTTGAGAATATTAATAGTTTATTAGATGCAGCTCGTTCATTGAAAATCTGTGGTCTTATTGAAGTTGGTTATATTATTTAAAAAAATATCAAATAGAATTATTTTTTTTCTAATTTTAATATTTCTTATGATTGTAGATTGATGGGCTTGAAGAAACTGATTCTATTGTGAATAATAAAGATTTTAATGATAATAATGAAGAATCAATAACTGTAATTAGTGAGGCTGAAGAAAAAGTTATTAATTCATTACAACATGATTATGAAAATTTAGAGAATCAACAAAAATATGAAATTACTGAAAATTCCACATTGAATAAAAAAAAGAAACGTAGACGCGATGCAACAAAAAGAGATTATAGTGATGATATGTTGGCATCAGCAATTAATGATTTAAAGGCAGGCCAAACATTAATAGAAGCTTCTACTAAACATAACATACCACGTTCAACTTTGTATATGCGTGCTAAAGCATTAGGTATTCATTTAAATGCATCAAGAAATGAATATCCGGCAGAATGTATGAAAGCTGCTATAAATGCGGTAATTGGTTGGTATTTATTTTATGTTTAGTTAAATATTAATTGTATTATATTAGTCAATTTAATTCATTGTCATTATAGGTGGATCAAGTCTACAACATGCATCAGAGATGTTTAGTATACCAAAGACTGTATTGTGGAGGCGTATTCAAAAGGAAGGATATCAAATATTACGTTCAGAAATGAAAAGATCTTATGGATCGGATAAACGGGAAGCTGCAGTTAAGGCTTTAGAAAGAGGAGAAAATTTAACAAAAGTTGCACTTGAATTTAAAGTAAATTTAAATGAATTTTTATGAATAATTTTGATCATTTATTTTTATTTTATTTAAATTTTTTGAGAACAATAATTATGTTTTTAGATTCCAAAGACTACTTTATTTAGAGATAAGGCGCGATTGGTAGATGAAGGAAAACTTCCACTCTCATTTTGGAAGAAACGTAAGACAGAAAATGAAGAATTAAAAAAATCTCGTTTGGAAGAAGCTGTTGCTGCTTGTAAAGGAGGAAAAATGTCGCAAGCAGCAGCATCAATGACTTATCATATTCCAAAAACAACAATCTGGAGACGTCTTCAACAAGATGGTAAAAAATCAGAACGCTCATTAGGTTCAAAAAAACAAAGAATATCAGATTCTAAACATAATATAGAAACAAAGGTAGAAGGATCTGATTTCACATATTGCGAGGTATTGGAAGTTATTAAAATTTTTTATTACTTTTTATATATATAGATTTTATGACAAATTTTATTTAATTATAAAAATTTTATTTACAGGTTTCATCAGAAATTCCTATAACTTATATAGATGAAAATAGTATACCTGAAGATTCTGTGATAATATTAACAGCAGAAGATATGGATGGACTTAATTTGGAAGAAGGACGACAAATTATTGTTAATTCAGTATGTTTTTTATTTATTAATTTTTTTAAAATCAGATATGTAGAGATTCACAAAAATTGTATACATATAATTTATTTCTTATTTAGGAATCAGGACAAGAATATGTTCCTTGTGCTATAAGTATTGAAGAAAATTCAAATTATTCACAAACAGAAAGTTAGCGTATAAATCATTCAATTATTACTCGTTAATTGTGTATATTAAATTAATTTTGTATATTAATTTAGAATTTAATAATATATTAAAATTCGCATATGCACACATATACATAAAAACAAGTATTTAATAATAATCACAAACTATAATTGAATTATTATTATTGATCGCATTTTTGTATGCAATGTTCTTATATTTATTTACATATTCTATCTTATTATTTTTCTAAAATGTTTGATAGTGATAATTTAATTAATATTTCAATAAAAAAATATTAATTATGTACTAGTGATTATTAAAAATCTAAAATTATTTAATTCGTTGGATTAAGAAATTAATATAATATATTTCATTTAATGTTGCAATGATAAACATATGCTTTAATAAAAATAATTTTTCTTAGAATATTAAAAATATCTTTTATTTTATTTCTTTGTATTTCTAGGAATATTGAATAAAATTAATACCCTAGTAACGGTCTAAAAATCATTTATTAGTCACTTCTCTTCGCGCAAAATTAAGTAACCAATAAATGCTAGTTTTAAGAACGTTTGTGTAAATTTACATTTTGCATTGTAAACGATAAATAGGGACTAAGACTGGGGATATTTGTTGAAATAATGTCTTGTGGCCGGTAATCTCTTACAAAGAACGTGTGGAAACTACGAAATTTCATCATATTACGTGATTATTAAAAACTTACAGTAAATATGGCCCACCAACTGTTTTATTCGACAAGTAAATTAGAAAGATTTGTTTTGAGCTCCGTTTACAAAAATGCTAATATATTTCAGGTATAAATGTAATTTAACATAACCTATATTTTTTTTATTATAATTAGTTATTTAATAAAAGTCAATTCATAATTACAAGTTTTAATTCAATTATATGTTGTTATTAACATATTTTTTATTTATTATAGTATGTTGTATTTTTTTTTATTATTATATATATATTATATATGTGTGTGTGATTATGTATATATATATAAATATATATATGTATATGTATTTG